ACTTTTGTGATTGAGCATTCTCCTATCCTTTGGGTATATACCCAGGAGTGGAATTGCTGGATTATATGGTAGTTCTATTTGACGGTCTTTGAGGATCCTTCATACTGTTCTCCACAGTGGCTGGGCCAATTTACATTCCCACCAACAACATAAGAGAGTACACAGTGAATCTTTTTGCAAGGCATATTGTGTGTCCACTATCTCTTTTGAAATTCTTCACTTCCCAAAGAAATTTTACTCAAAAATTACTTAAAAATCACTGATATGCAGAAAAAATGCAATGCTTCCACTTTAGTGTAGTCAATGGGCATTATTTGAGTTTTCGTTCTGTGACCTGCAGTCTACATGGGCTTAGGAGATCTTTAAATTATGGGTTATATTTATCCACTATCAACAAAATAGGAAAATGGGGCTAAACCTAATCTTTTCCTTTCCTCCCTATAATTTCCTCTGTTTCTAATTTTGTAGCAATCACATTTCAACTAGTTAATCAAATGTCTTTTGTGTGGCAGGTGCCAGAGTGCTTGTTTTCATTAGAGTAACAAATGCCATATTTAGGAACCTGGCCTTTTGATTAACCGGCTACATGCATGGCTTTAAACCATTAAACATGTGTATTTAAACTCAGCATTTATTTTTACATCTCCATATCCAAATAATCAGGATGTGGCTATCTGTAAGATGATACAGTAGGACTTTATTCCTATGTACACCCAAGCACAAAAATACATGTCTCAGACATAATCATCAATATCATAAACACACATCATCCTGTGCCATTTATAAGATTTGGAGATGAAGAGAAACTTGGTTAGCAAGATGTGTATAAAAATAGTTCAAGGAAATCCACAAGGAAAAGCTTCTAAAATAGAGCAATTTCACACTTTTTAACCTATTTTTATCATGACAGAAAAGCAGGCAGGAAAATATGACAATGCTTGTTTATTGAGTAAATGTGAGCATTACAAAGAAAAAAGATGAGAAACATGAAATGGTCTTGTTTTGTTTTGTTTTTTGTTTTTTGTTTATTTCTTTTCTTTTTCTTTTTTTTTTTTTTTTTT